CTCCCTGGGGCGTCTCTGCCCTCTTCATGATTTTCCGATCTTGTTCTTTCAACGCGTGAGACAGGAAGTTCCACGTGTGGAATGCGAGCTCTACTTGCTTGCTCCGGTACTGCTGTGGCAGCGAAAACTTGCTCTTTCCGCTGTTGACGGGGATCTCCACGCTCCTGCCCTCTTCAAATTGTTCCAACAGGTTTGTGCCATTAGCTGCCATGCGGAAATCGTTTGTAGCCATTCGTTGAAATCTTTCGATTCCTGCTGAACGGAGGAGAAGTGTACCGCACATGGTACCCCGTCGCTGGGGTTGTGGATCCGTAACCAAAGCCAACAGCAGCACTACCATCTCCGATGGCACTACTATAATCCTGGTTGTGAGCAGCGGCTACTCTCACCACTTGGGGGACAGAGCCCCCTGCTTCGCCGCTGTGTCGCCCTGACGGGCCAGACTCTCGAACAGGTTCGCGCAGGTACCTCCCGTCCTGCGCACTCCCGGTCCACGGTGCCCCTCCTTCGGCGTTCGTAGACTCCGCGGCGGCGCTCTCCCTAGCATCGCCGCGATCAGCGGCACCCTCCATGGTGCCAGCTGACTCCTCCTTCTTGCTTGCCTTCATGGTATCTTCCAGTTGCGACATTAGCTGGCTCATCTGATCCGTCAGCGAGCTAACTTGCGTCCTCAGGGCCACGAGCTCTTCCCTTGACCTCTTTCTGTCTTCCGCCGCAGAGTTGCTGGAGGAGTCACCCTCATCTTTGCGACCTGACATTCGTAATGGACTCTCCCTCGAGGGACTGACACTAGTGTGTTCGTATATGTCCTTTACTTGGAAGGGGAAGACGTTTTATCTCTTGTATTAGACACGCAAGGGGAGTAGGGAGAAGTGAAGCCCCCTTTGGAGTTCGAGGGGTCCCCGCACATGCAACCATGTCAAGGTGTACATATGCCCCATCTGCGTGCCCTCTGTTGTTGCCGGTAGATCCAACCAGTCCGTATCTAAACACACGAACAAGTCTAAGCAAGAGAAAAAAATGAAAAAAAAATAGGTAAGGTTATTAGTCTAATGTGACCCAAACGAAACAGACGTCACCTCCCCACTCTTCGTGTGATTCACGATGATCTTTTCAAGGAAGTACTCGTTCAGAGTGCATAGACTAGATATTTCGCCAGCGGCATCCACGGAAGCTTGAATTCAACAGCGCCACAACTAAGAGCGACTGACACGTCACATGGCTCGTTGAATCCCCTACACGGCGATTCCGCCCTTTCCCATCGCACCAAGCAGATTGAGCGGACTCGTGGTGGAGTGAAAGAGTTCGTATCCGGTATCAGCTTCCCGCCTCCGCCCCGGAGTCCCGCCGATCCTGCCCTCACTGTCCCATGACCTTCGTGAGCGAGCAAGGCCTTGGGATACACGTGAGAACGCAGCACAGCAGTGCAAACATGTCCAACGGCGTGCGGCTGCGGCGGATGCTACGGAAGAATCTCGAAGGGCGTGTCCTGCCGTGGGGAGAGGCCGGGCCTGGGCGTTGCTGGCACGTAAAGGTCGATGATGCGACGGGGGCGGCTTCGTTTGTCCTCCAGCGGAAGCGCTTTCTCGATCTAGACTTGGAAAGCGACGGCTTTATGGACCGCAAAACCAAGGAAACTCGTGGAGCTCCCAAGCGCAGGCGATACAACTATAGGTTCAAAGCCAATGCTGTCAACCAGCTGCGCATCCTCGAGCACAACGCCGCGGACCTCTGGAACGAGGAGGAGCGCACGCCTCTTCAGTACTTAGAGGATCGTCTCAAGTTCACTACAGCAACATCGTGGAATGGGCCAAGGACGAGGAGGCCATAGTCGCGGCGGCAGCAGACGGCGTGAAGAAGAGCCTCCTCGCCAAGCAGCAACCTAAGCGGTGGTTTCCTGAGGCAGAAAAGAGGCTTTACAAGATGTTCGTGGAGCGGCGAAGAGGAAGCTGAAGATATCGACCCTGTGGCTGACGATCACGTTCCGGAAGCTCGTGCGAGAGATGTATCCCGGGGACCAACGGGCGGCAGCGTTCCGCGCATCCTTCAGGTGGGCACGAAAATGGGCCAAGAGGCACAACCTGTCCAAAAGACGTCGGACCAACCTCAAGAACAAGTCTGTTAAGGAGCGCCGACCAAAGGCCCAGCGCTTCCACCGACTGTTTCGCAAGCTCCTGCAAGAGCCGGTACGGTACAGGGCGCCCGATGAGTCGGACGTATCGGCGATTACGACGGTCGCAGAGAGGGAGTCCAGAGTTCCCAAGTATGGCCAATTCCAGCTCTGGGAGCGTTGGAATGTGTATCAAGTGCCTTTGGCATTCGTAAACGGACTGCTCGATACGTGGGAGGAGCGAGGTGCGAAGCGTGTCGCCATCTCACAGCCCTTTCCTGGCCTAGAGACAAGACAGTGCACCATGCAAGTCATCTTTGGCCCGGGTGAGGAGACCTTGCGAATTTCGGTGATTTTCCGAGGCACGGGGAAGCGGATCTCGCCGGTGCAGAAGGCCGCGTACCACAAGGACGTGGACGTGTTTTTCCCGGAGAATGCTTGGGCCGACCAATAGTTCTGTATGGAGTGGGCTAAGAGGTCCTACCGCGAAGGCCTGATGCGCGGGCGGGGTGAGCTTCCCAAGGTGAGGTCCGTTCTTATCATGGACAACTTGCACGCGCAGACGATGGACGAATTCAAGGAGTATCTTGCGAAGGAGTGCAACACTCTCGCCTGGTATGGCCCTTCGGAGTGCACGGACGAGGTGCAGCCAGTTGATGCAGGAGCCGGACGATTTATCAAGGTAGAAGCTGGGAGGCAGATGGACATGTGGCTCGAGCAGTCGGACAACCTCGAGAGGTGGGAAAGCGCGGCGCTGACAGCTTCTGATCGGCGGGTACTGATCACTCAGTGGATTGGAGCGGCCATGGCAAGACTCAAAGCCAACAGGCGTTCCGATTCAGTGCGGGATGGCCATGACAGTGGACGGCTCAGGCGATGATCGGATCACCTTGGAGGGTTTGGACAAGCCGTCCACCTTCGCAAACGATCAAGACTGTAGCGAGGACGAAGAAGGTTTGGAGAACGGCAGCGATGAGCCTGAGGGGCGGGGGAAGGTGTTGATTGCTTCCAAGCCTAGAGCTGCTGGATAAGCACGGTTGACCAGGTTGACAGGGATGAAGAGATGGTAAAGTCGTTTTATTAGGTTNTCCACCTTCGCAAACGATCAAGACTGTAGCGAGGACGAAGAAGGTTTGGAGAACGGCAGCGATGAGCCTGAGGGGCGGGGGAAGGTGTTGATTGCTTCCAAGCCTAGAGCTGCTGGATAAGCACGGTTGACCAGGTTGACAGGGATGAAGAGATGGTAAAGTCGTTTTATTAGGTTGCCCTCGTGGACAGGCAACAAGAGAGAGTGGGCGCCACGTGCGCCACAAAGCATCAAGCAACAGTCGCAAGAAATTCACCGACGAAAAGACGCGCGGACTTTCTGCAACACGGAACAATTCCAACTACCAAAGACATGTCGGGAGATACCCCGAAGATCCACGCCCGTCGAACGGTCACTTGCACACGTCTCGCTCTCAAACCATACATGAGTACTACCGCAGTAGCGTTCGTAAGGATGACATAATCCACCTCACGGACAGAAGGAGGGCGATGGACGTGAGACGGTCGTGGAGGGCGCTGATTCCAGCGATGATGACGACGGCGGTAAGTTTGATTTGCACTAGATAGACCCACTCTTTGTCATTTCCTTGTTGATGACGATGTCCATGTTGATATTTGCTTGGATTGTGCTGATTGTGTTGTTTCGCGTTTACGACTACGAGCAAATATGATGGGTTTATGTTGAGTTTCGGCCGTGACCCTGCACTTACTTCTTGTGGTGTTTCACGGTGCCCCGTTCGCAAGCACGTCTCAAACCCAGACCGATGAGCTAGCTCTTCTCGACGACGACGACAGCATGGACCCACAAGACCCGGAGGACGAGACACAAGGAATGGAGATCCCGACAGGCTTTCGCATTGAAGAAGTTAAACCCGTTGCCCTTGACAGATTGCTTTTGCGACGTGGAGTGCTCGTTAGGCTGGGGATGGGGTGGTTTTGAGGGTTGATCATTCAGCAATCTCAGCAGGACACTCGCCACGTGTAGTAGGACAATTGTGTGCAGCTAGAGCTAGACCAGAGTACGCGCAAGATGAAGCTGCCCTTAGACAAGTACACCCGAGATCTGGATGCGGCGGTAGGCTTCTGGGTTTTGCTTGAGAGCGTTAGTAGATCGGGGAGGGTACGCAGGACCAACGTCACCCTTTTGGACCAAGATGGTTGACAGTTAGTTGCTGCTGCATGCCTTGGTGTGTTCTTGTATGAAACAACAACAGCATTGTTCCTCATGCTAAACACTATAAATACTCCGCCGAGTGCAGTTGACCGCCGCCAACAAAGTACGTCGTCATACAACGTACGCCAACAACAGGGCCAATTGGTGTTGAAATAAGAACAAGAACATTTCGCTGGAGAAAAATGGGACGGCGAAATAAGAACATGGCCAATAAGAACACGTGCTCGGATTGGGGCAGCCAATAAGAACTGAGCCTCGCTCAAAATAGGAGGTTCGGGCCTCAACTGTAGTTGTTCACCTTGCTTGATGACAAGGGGCGCTCACTGCTGCTGCTGTTGAGTGTGCGTGCGTGCGTGCGTGCGCGTGTCCGTGTCTGCGTCGCTCCCTCAACCCCAGCACACGAGATCACACCACACCAGTACGGAGACAGGAAGTGATTACTGTACACTGGCCGACGACAGCCTCTGAACGAAGTGCTATGTCGCGTTTCAAGCGCTCGGGAGAGAGACGGGGGGTTTGGGACCGGGAGGCACATCCCAGTCAAACGCTCAGCTTTCTACTTGAAGTAGTCGACACCAGAGAAAATACTCTTGCGCGCGGAAGGACGCGCCCACCTTCACCAGGAGGCCACTACGTGCTCTTCCTCCTCTCTGCTCTTCTTTGCTGGCGGCGTTGCCACCACCTCTAAGTTCGTACGCTCTTCCTCCCCCTTGCCTCAATCAACCCGACGGGCGTGTTACTGACCTCAAGCCAGCCGGAAATAAACTCAACTTTCTGACCGTGCAGCCTCCCTGTTTTCGTGTTGGTGGCGCGCCAACGATTATAGGCCCTGACCTGTTATGCCTATTTCTTGATATTTTTATGCACGTTTTTCGGCACGTGCGTATGCTCAAAAAAAGGCGACTTACGCACGCTGGTTATTATGCTCATTTTCCTCGCGTGTGCTCGTTCGTACTTCTGCACGCTTTTCTTCGTCCCTCGTGCTCGGGCAATGCTTGTTTCGGTCGTTAATGCTCGACATATGCCCGCGCGGGTGGCTTCGTCGACACGCCTTGTTTACTATGTGCCGTCTGCCACCGTCGAAATGTATGAATAATTGTGTTGCTGTATCACATCACAGCGCAAATTATCTTGGTGTCTATCTTGTCTTTCAGGAAATGGTTTTTCGATGCATCCGACTACTACTACTCTGCACTCGTTCGTTCTAATAAGGGTGAAGAGGGACTACTTTCCCGCATTCCCTTCACCCTTGGTCATCCGTGATCGCCATTCGGCAAACAGAGTAGATATATGTTTTTCTGGAATCAATCGCGATAAAATACTTCAAGCAATATAAATGCGCCTCCAACAGCCCCTGCTGTATGTACCAGTGTCAAACCCATCAGAACACCAATTGCTGTCAGTGCCTCTAGAATCATGGACACATACATTCCATCCCCCCCCCATAATCAATTGTCGATGCAACGAAAAATAGCAATTAATTTCAATTAAAACAATCAACAGCCATGTAGCAGTGCGGCCTACTAGGGTATTCTTGCTGTAAAATGGAACAACACCGCTGGCATACCACGTAATGGCCACTGAACCAAACAGCAGGGTTGCCCTGTTTTCTGCAACAAACCGCACAAACGTCAAGAAAAAAAATGAAGCCAAAGCCATGCCACACATTCAATTCCAACAGGAACAAAAATACGCACAGGCACTAACTTGTGACTTCGGAAGTTCCGTAGAATTCACCTGAAAATGCAGTGCCAAACGATACAGAAAAATTACAGCAACAACAAATGAATAAGAAAGCGCCTCGAATACGATATATCGGATTAATATCCAAGACACCACAAACACACACCACGATAGTAGTGAGGGTAATTCTTTTGGGAGTGACGAAGACGAAGGAAAGGGAAAGGGAAGAAAGGAGGACGAAGACGACCATGGAGCAGGAAAACATGGAGGAGTGGAAGAGAGCAAAGAAAGGGTTTGAGCCAGATGACCTTCCCCACAACAAGAAACGTAGGGCTAGGGAAGAACTGCCCAGAGATTCTTCTTGTCGAAATGAGGATCAGAATGATGGTAGCGAAAACAAGGAGGATACTACTGGTGAAAGTACTCCTAAACGAACTCGAGTACTAGGTAGTAGCCTTGGTAGAAGTCACGGGGTCCCAGTTCATGGCAGATAGAAGTGTTTTGTGTTTTCAACCGCACTAAGACTGACGTCTTTTCATTGGTCAGCCGGTTAGCGCGGTCGATGCTAATAAAAAAAGAGCACACACCACAGGCAAAACAGCGAACTCGCGTACTCCCGAACACTACTCTCCGCGCCCTCTATCTATTATTGTACTTGAGAAGGGCAGCTGCGGCAATGCGATCGCTGAAGAAGCTCGACTCCTCCTGCCTCTGGTCCATATACGCACGCACGCAGAATAGAAGATACTTGCTCCATGATGAAGGCAGAGGATGGCTGAATCAGTGATGCGCGGTGTGTCCTGTGTTCCTGTGGTCTTGGTCTTCGGTCTTTGGTCTTTGCGTCTTTTCTCTCCTCTCTTCTTGTACAGAAGTCAAGCAGTTTCAATCAACTGTAATCAAGGTTTAAACAACGAATGAATGTTTTAAATAAGCGAACACCGAATCTCCAATCTCCAGATCTACAATTTGTTGTCTGATCTGTAAACTTGAAACGAAAGAGTTAAAGACCAAGAGGCTTTGAAGGGGATAAAAAAGCTCTGTTTTGGTTACAATGAGCTGTCTGAGCGTCTGAGCCACCCCTTACCCCCATCTCACTCGTGCATAGTCACCGCTATGCACGATAACCCCTGTTATGCACACTTTTATGCATAAATATATACCAGGTATAGTCTATATATGCACGCTCCAACTTATGCTTTTGCTTATGCACGAAAAGCCCAGTTATGCACAACCATAAGCATGCATAACAGGTCAGGGCCTAGCGCCAACTCCAGGGCCTTTCGCTGGGCGCTGGCCTTCTCTTTGGCCGCGCTGACATTTTCTCAACAGACTGCTGTGTGTGCGTGCGGTGATGCGTGTGATGTGTTACTTCGAAGAAAGGTGCTACATCGAAAATTGTGAATTTTTTTCCACAAACCAAGCCTCCCTCGGCTCTTAAATCTGGTACATTTTTTCCTTGTTGTGGGTTCTGGCGAGACTGTCAGGAGCGATCCTCAGGACGACGGCTTAGCTCAAAATATGTTTCCTTAATTATTTCGGAATTTTTGTGAGTCCGAAACTGTCAAACATTAGGAAAAAAAATACACACACAGACAGGTAGACTATAATTATTATTTTAATACCCATTCGAGATAAAACCCACAGTCGAACGGGATGTATTGGAGTCTTTTCAGTGAGTGGATAAAAATCGACTGGGTACGGCAATATTGTTTCGGAGAGAGCACATACTTTTCCATGATGGTATCGCCCTACCAAACAAATAGTGTACTTTCTTTCCAAGGTGGCACTCGGAGACTCTTGGCAACGGTGCCAGCGGCCTTTCTCAACTCGACAAAAAAGAAAAGAAGTGTCTGGAAGCTTACGCTTGGCACCACATCGGACCTCCGTGGGCGTCCCCACCTGTTCTATTGTATTTGATTGAACAACCCTGAGAAGGATACTGCAACCGCTGCTGCTGCCTCTGCTGCATGTTTAAAAAAAAAAAAAGTGCGCATCATCTGCTGCTGTGTACCTGCGGAAAACCGACCCTATAAAACCCAATCTCAAAATGAGGTCTGCTGAGGAAAGCAACAAGTGGGTGCTGCGGCCTTCGTTCCTCCTATGCGACCCCCAGCTGGTGCGCCCAGACTTGTACCGAAGAAAGGTGCAAAGGCCGACGTCCAGAATGAACACTAGACTAATGAAATGAGAAAAAACAAACGAAATCGCCCTTTTCCTCGCGCGCTGCTGCGGTGTCGTCAACTCTCGGCGCAACATTGCGTCGTATTTGGTGCCCCCCTTTCAGCAACCAGACTACCGTGAACTCTACGCCATCTCGTAAAGTACGTACTCCGTACAACAGCAGCTCTCCTTTCTGGGGTACCATCGCATCTCCGTGGGATAAATTATGGTGACAGTAAAGATACTAAGTAATCAGCTTACAGAAGCAAAGCGACAAAACGGATACCCATGGGCGTAAGAATATGTACGAGAGCCTTAGTACACGAAAATTTCGTATCTATAATATCTGTATCAGACACGATTGACGTGACTGGTACCCCCTCCTGTACCACACCACCAGAAGCATACAACACGACACGATTAATCGCTCATCCTGTCCTTGACGGATGTGCTCTGTTTCGGAAGAACAACGAGATTTAAGAATTGGGGCAAAAAACGTTCTACAATATGGCCAAAAGTTCCACAGGAATTCCCTAGCGTTCATTCGATACCGCCGCACCGAATACTCTTCGCAAACCTTGGGCACGTCGTCTTGGTATCATTGTTTGATTGCACAACATTTACCGCTGGGAAAAAAACGTCGAAAGAACCAAGACAACACAAGGTACTAGATCAAGAGCGAGAGTGACAGACCGTCCGCGTAACACGCAAAGGTACAGAGGAGCCCGGATCATGCCTGACTGACTGACTGTACCAGTTGGCTTCGTTGGAGAGCTCTTTTACGACAACCCTCCGCTGTAACACTCACGACGCTGTCGCCTCCCTCAACGATGACGCTCGATTCAGAATACATCCCAACCAACCCATGGAGTAATTCCAAGGTCGATGGGTTCAACACGCAAAAAACGGTTTCAACTCTTCCACGCCGACAACTTCAATTGCGAGCCCGTTGGTGAGGTAAATTACCCCCAAGCCTCCGAACCTAAACATACCCGAGTGAGGGCAATTGGGCAATCACCCCGACCCTATGAATCTCAAACACCCGAGGTTGAATCAACTGGTCCGTGTACCGCTCATGATCCCTTCGAACGATATCGCGACCGGCCGGTCGCTGCTGGCGGACACAGACGCCTGCTCGGCCATGTGCGTCGTCCGGCACGAGTCGTGGCAGGTCACCAGCGGCTCGGAGTTGCCCCTCAGAACCTGCTCAAACGCTCCCACCTCCATCGCGTAAGCCTGGGACAATTTTGCGTCCGCGTATCACCAAGAGTGGGCAGCCGGGCGTGGATCAGTAGTCTACATGCGTCGAACCGGGGTTCAGTGCGGAGGATTTGAGGAAGGGGCTAGACCGGCTAGACCGGCGACATATGGTTGGGATTTGGGGTCGGTCCGGGCTAAAAGAGTTGCGGTATGAATAGGAGCAGCGTTGATTGAGGGGTAGGTGGACACGATGAGTGCCTCCGACAAGCTTGCTAACAATGGTCCGCAAGCATACCCTAGGCTAAGACTTCAGCGAGTTGGGGGTCAGTTTGTGTGCGCACGAATGTGTGAGGAGAGGCAGAGAGCGAGGGAGGGATGGAGGGTGGGTTATTACTCTAAACAGCATATTGGTGAAATTGAGAGCGACGCATCTGATTGAGAGCGAGATTGCGCGATGCGCTGCACCTGGACTGCTGCTGAGAGGTGGAGCTTGCTGTGTAGCTTGAATTGAAGGACCAGCCCGTAGCTACAAGCAGNACTTGTCTAGCTCCTCGCTGCAGCATCCGATGACGATGACACGCATATGCTCGTGACGCTGCTGATGAAACCTTCAATTTGCGCCGCTTCTTGGAAGAGCCCGCCCCATACTTCCCAAGAAATGGCAAGAGGCGTCTGGACCCGAATTTTAATTTTTTTGGCTCCCGCTCTCAATTCATGCTTCGCTTTCAATTTCACCAGAATGTTGTTTCTAGCCGTGCATGCCGTAGTCGTTAGACCATTGACCTCGCATCCCTACAAAGCCGGGACGGAGCGCGCCGGGTTTTTACCGGACCAGGCCATAAGGGAGGGAGGGTTGGGGGGGCGTACTCTTATGTTTTGCATGCCTTAGCGGTTAGACCATTGACCACGCGTC